CAAGTATTTAAATAAAAGTGATTCGTTTCGCCATGAACCCGGTGAAGATAATTTCCTAGACCGCGGAGACGTTGTCGAGCTGCTCGATGTTGGAGGTCATCCAGATCGAGAGTACTGGTCTCCAGGTAGCTATCCATGGGTGACTCCATACTAGAAGTTTCGCAGCTGTTTGGAGGTGACATGAATTCCAAAGGTCTTCTCCAGTCAGGCTGCGACTGGAGATGACTTCATATTTTGGTGTACATGAAGGTGATGGGCGAGAGCCAGCTCCTGCTTAGAGGAACATCTTGGGTATCTTCCGCCCTGGTACTCGTATCCACGTCCTCTGTCTGGGCTGCGAAAACTTTGCTGATATGTGACTTGGTCAAAGTGACTTTTTTTGGCCACCCCCGTATTCTCGAACCTGCAACGCCATTTGGACGGTCATAAATTCAGAACCCACCACGACATCGAAGGGTGGATTTTTTCAAAGCCCAGCCAACCACGTGCTGGAGGGAGGGTATCTCGACGATCCACCCACTCGTTGGCAAAAGACCATAGATGGTAACGAAGCATATTTCAAGCGACTAGTGCGGTTGTTTCATTTTTTGCAGTAATAAACTTCAGGTTCCAAAGAGGACTTCCGAATCAACCTAATATGTTGAGTGATCACAGTGATCACTCAGCTTTTCCCAAATCCTCAGGACATTCAGGAATTTTTGAGCACAGCTTCTTTTTTGTCAATCAAATTCTGTTGACTGACCATTGTTTGACAACTGCTATTTAAACGCCGCAGTGCGTGATCTGAAAGTTATCACAAGAGTTGCGGGCGAAAATCGGACCACGGACGGGATGAGGACTTTTGAATCAACCTAATATTTAGGAAACGCAACCACCTGGCAAGCAGTAGATGCGGGTTCGAATCCCGTCCGTGGTCCGACGTTTTGCCCAGAACTCAGCTTTCTTGTGATGACTTTCTGTAGACTGAATTCTCATCCCATTCCCCTCTTTCGCTATCATTGATGCCCGCGCACAATTATCTCACTGGAAAACATCTTCCCGAACGAGATGGATCTCATTGTGATAATCCTATTACGGAAGTTGCTCCGTCCGATTACGCGACTGATCGATCAGTGCAAGACTTGCTGGGAAATCACCGAATTGGAGAAAGTGTCAATAGGGCTTTTGATTAGTCAAGGAAACTTGCAAATTAGTGGGTGAGATTAATGGTGAGCTTCTCTTCGGAGAAGATCTGCCATTCTTACTGATCAGACCTAAACTGGAGCAGTAATTTAGGATTATGACAACGATGCTGTGGAGTGGGCTGAACTTTCAGCCTCGAAAGGATGAGCTGCGATAAAAATGTAAAACTGAAGGAAGTCGTGGGTGTTCGGTAGGGTAACAGGCAATCTTGAAGTCTACAAGTGGTCGCATTTAGCCTGAGAAAAATTTCGCTGACGTTCATTTTTACTTTACATGTTTTATATCCCTCACCGCTACGATAGTTGATCGGGTATGTCAGCCCTGCGTTGGATAGCATACTTACACATGGCTGAACCCAATGACTTTCAAAGTCCAGGCGTAGACCGTTTATTGATTTACCTTACAAAATAAAAACGGTACCGGCTGAGTAAGGAATACTTGGCAAATCTGGACGCAGCTATACGAGATTGAACCCGTGGGCCATGCATGACTTCATACCGTTTCAGCTCAGGGAGTTATTGCTGGGAAATCCCGAAGTCAAGGATGTCGCAGTTAGTTTAGATAACCTTTTTTGACTGTTGATTTCTCCTGCTGTGGTAATGATCGGTCGTTTAAGGGAAAAAGGTCGAACCAGAAGAAAGTTGTGAGGAGTGGGCTTCGTATTAGCGAAAATGCTTCTCCATTAAAGGCAGTTGGCACGATAAATCCCCCAAGACGACTAGGATCAATACTCCTGGCAGGATAGAATTCCGCGACCCTGGGCAGGCGCTGCATAGCGGTTTCCCCGAGGAAGGTGCCCTTATAAGGGCCCTATCAAGCCACAACTTTACGTCCCAAACGCCCGCCACGCCCGCCCGCCCACAAATGGACGTTCTGACGCTTATTTGCTAAGCAAATTATGAAGCGAAGGGATTGGTATGAAGCGGCCGTGATGCTGCATGCATACATGGGTACACATATGCAGCCGTATCTTCGGTAGCGGTGATTGGCAAGATGCCTACGGGAAACTCGTCCGAAATCGATTTTCAAGTCACTGAGAACGGAGGCTTTTTCTTCGCAGGATTTTGACCGTTTCACTCCGTTCTTTCGCCATTTCCCCACTATACAGCGCCCTACTAGCATTT